TTATAGAAATGCCTCTCGCAGCGTAATCTGAGCTACCCCCTATTTCAGTACAGTGGGTAGAATGATTTAATAAAGCCAGCGCGTAAGTGGTTTCCTCTGTTTATAGCGCCGCTAGGGCGCGAATGGGTCAACAAGGGGCATATTTCGCATATTTATTAACTGGATATTGCCGTTTAATACTGAGGGTACTTGTAAAGTCACTGCACATTAGATATATTGAAGATTATTATTTTATTGCTTACTTCCATTTCACAGCAGTGTTTTTTTTATAATATCAAGTAAAGGAACGAAAAAGTCGTGCGCCTGATAGTAAACTACACGCCTTTCCATAACAGTTGCAGTGCCACTCCAGAGCTTTAAATAGCAAAGATCTGAGGTGGATCTGAGGAACCCCCGTAGCATGCGGCCGCGATAAAGCTATTATATGCACTTTTAGCTATCAAATTCGAGTGATAAACTCTTAAAATTTTATCATAATAGCAAACATGGTGAACACCGATTTTGTCGCATCGCTAACGCCGCGACCTATGGCTGCAAAAGAATATCGCAGTGCCAGATATGGCCGCAATGACACTGTTGATTTTAAACCGTTGTGAAAGTTCACAGTAATTTTATATTATTTATTAATTATTTATTAGTAATTTTATATTTTATATTTATAAAAATTGACCGCGACAAACGAAATAAAAAGAAACAATAAAAACAAACAAATTGATTTATATAAATGATTGGAAAAAGGTGAGGTGAGGGTGAGGTTAACATTTTTTAAAACAGTTCAATACATGAGAGTAATTTGAAATACGTAAATAATAACTAATATACTTAAACGACAAAGATAGCTTATACATACGCTATTTCAAATCGTTATCCTTGTTCATTACCAAATAACCGAAAGACCGATTGATTCTAGTGCGGTATCTTAGCGATTCAGGACTCCCAATAAAAATGTAATAAAGGCAACATAGCTATATCAACTGCAATAAATATGTCACGAGAAGGTTTATCAAGGGTTTATCACACATTGCATGGCATGCTACAATATCTAGTTGCAACTTTACAGTGATCGTTTGCTAAGCATGGGTAATGCTTGCTTGTTACAACTTACCTAGGTATACAGAGGACATTTTCTTCGATACATTCTCGTCGATGTACGTAACGCCGAGGGTGAATAATGGCGTGGCGCCGGCGCCGTGTAGCAATTGAGCGAACACGAACACAGCCACGGCCCACGAGCCGCCCTCCGATGACGACTCGTCATTGCACCGCGATGATGACTGGAGGAATTATATCATCTTAATAATAAAAGTGGACTGTATTAACAATAGGACTAGTTATATTCGCCGTCTCAATCGTATAGTTTGGTTTGCAAGTAATACAAAATTAGTAAGGCGAGGCGAGACAAGGCGAGCGCCACTGCGCTGCTGCCGCTCCCCGTGACGTCACGCTAGGCCGTGGCGCCCGCGCGTCTCATCCCGAGCGCGTATAGGACCGGTTCGATACAACTGTCATACTATTCGCGATTTCTCATTAAATAAACTATTGCAAGGCTATTAAGGCATTCGTAGAGAACGTTCTCTTACAACATTAAGGTCCGAGGGATGAACGTCGCAGTTATGTGTTGCATAGAACTGAATGGAATACAGCTTTGCGCCCGCACCCGCCTCGCGTTCACCAAGGACTCTGCCTGCGCCTGTTTGTAATAACGTTCGGCCCGTGCGCCCCGCCACCCGTTTTCAATGTGGCACGTTTCAAAGACCTCGAACATTACAAAAATTCCCGGCCCCGTAACGCTCTCGCTACCGTGTCTGTGTGGCCATAGCATTATAGATACCAATTTCATACATTATTTCTATTACTTCCATGTGATAAAAGCATTTCTGACGTATGTTCACATATTATGACTTTGTTATATCAAGGGTACGAATTCATCTATCAGAATATTTTGAAATAGATCAACAAATGAACAATGAATCTAACCATAGTGCGGTTCACAAAACAGAGATCGTCGGGCTCGTCACCAGCTGCTCTGTACGGTGAGACGAGGAAATGCGGCAGTGCGAATAGTAATGACCCCGTGCCCATCAGCAGCACGCCCCATCCCAACCAGCGTGGCTTGGATGCGCCCGTGCGCCCACCTAAATACGTCACGGGGGCCAGGCAGGCAAAAGACGCCATGTCATAACTGAAACAAATTTCATTGTTATTTGCAATATTTATTCATGATGTGTTTACAATCATAATAGGTACACATTTTCTATAAAAATATATATATTTTTAATACAAAAATCAAAGAAAAATTCCCTTGATCTGATTAGACTCGTATGCGTAACATGCCGCCGCGGTAATAATTAGCTGTCAAAAGCAGTGGTAAAACCGCCATTTTGAAATTTTATCACAATAGAGAACATGGCGAGCACCGTGACGTCACATTTTGTCATGCTACGACTAATGGCCGTGAAAGTATATCGCAGTGCCAAACATGGCCGCAAAGTCACAGCTGATTTTAAAACATTTTGACAGTTCTGCACATTTTATCAACGTAAAAATTGAACGCGACAAACGAAAAAAAGGAATAATAAAAAGAAACAGTTTGTTGTTACATTAATAATTGGAAAATTGTGAGGAGAACTTTTTAATGTAGTTCAATAAATGAGAATAATTTGAAATATGCAAATAATAACAAATATAATGTAAAATCGAATAATGGGTGTGCGATTCAACGAAAATGTCCAGAGGATAAAAAGAACGAGTTCTTAGAAATTTATAAAATAAGCAGAGATTATCGTTGCGTTGTTGGCAACAGACTTAAGGTTCTTGATAAAAGTAACAGAGTCAACAACAACATACCCTCCGGCGATAACTCCCGTCTGCATGGATCGCAGGCCGAACCGCTTCTCTATTGTGGTAATCACCACATTCACGAAGCCGTTCACCACCATGCCTATGGACAATGAGAAAACCATTTTTTACTATAGACACAAAGTTCTTATGTCAAACACTTTATTATTAATTTACCAACAAACAATTTGCACTTTAAACGTCGATATAGATACACGATTTAGATCTGGAAATATGTTTTCATTTCTATTGCACCTCAGACGATTCTGTCGTCTGATTATTTAGACCAATGAAAAGGGGCGTCAGAAAATCCTCCATTCTATTAAAATCATCTTAGTGATGAATAAGGTATTTTTGAGATAGACCACTGTTCGATAAAGCCATCCATCGCTGCCTTTGTACGACTGCAACATATCAAGCTTCACAAAGATGTATTTTGTTGTGTTAATCTGGGGTTGGTATTCGAATAAAAATGAATAAGTTTGTTGTGCTGAAGACTGTACCAAATTCTCAACTCGCCATATCTTTTTTTTATAACACGAAGTGCTGGACGAACAAGTCGTGCGTCTGGTGGTAAGCGTCTACTACTACAACTAATACGTCTATCCAGAACAGTTGCAATGCCACTCAGTGATTTAAATCGCAAAGATCTTATGGGCACTGCCACTGCGCCTATCACCCTGAGACATAAGTTGACAAGTCCCGTGTGTCTGTAATGTCCCTTGCCCTTCTAATCCTTGAACGCAGTAATTCTCACATTACTGCTTGACGGCAGAAATAGGCAAGGCAGCAGTACTTCCCTGGACGAACTCTTTCACAAGGAGCTGTACTGCTACTAAATATAATTATTCTCAGCTCACTACATCTTACATCAAAAGAAGTAAGAAAGAAGATAGGTGCTTTCACGATAAAGTTTCACTTGCTTTTCTCGTCGATACATGATTAGTATACTACATAAAAAAAGAAAAATCCAGAAGCAGTCAACAGAAAAGCCAAGTTTTATTTTTAGACTAGACAAATCAATCGAGATTGAAGCATACATTCCGGTTATTAAAGTTTCACGTCCTTTCAATTCCGACGTCGATCGAACCGGACACGTTCCTCTGAAATAGACTGGCTACATTATTTTTCAATCAATAGCTGACAGTTTCTATGCAGGCGAAGTTTATTTTGGGTTTCCGTGATTTAAATCTAGTTTTAAGGATACCAATGTAGCATATACGTTTTTGTTTCTTATAAGAGATTAAACAATCTTACAAACAATGTAAAATTATGATTGTTATTGCAAAGGTCGAACACACAGAAAAACTTCAACCCGCGACCATACTGCACCGTATATAATAATAATAATAAAGCACACACTCAACATAGCCCCGCACTAGGGGAACCCTAGGTCGCGGGTGCCATGGACACACACATAGACAACCACAAATTACACCCAAACTCACGAGAGAAATAAATGTAGGCCATACAAATATTTCTCCCGGCCCGGGAATCGAACCCGGGGCCTCTGCGTGGTAGTCCGGTAACCGTTCATGGCATGGTAACCGTTCGGCCACGGAGGCAGTTAAATATTATACTGGTATATTGCATTGGTATATTATATATAGACGAATTCTTTCACAAGGAACTTTACTGGTACCCTTTAGTAGCAACAATGATGAAAATCAAAAATGTCTGCCTTAATATCAATAAGCAGCAACTGTTTTTAGTGCTACAATGCTGTTTTGTTCACGAACCCTTAATATAAGGTATTTAAATACAGCTTGCTTATTAAGGCTTGCTTGCTTATAGCTATTTATGAATGGCAGATTAATGTTTTAAGTGTTTTTGTGCCCAGTAACGCTTACAGTGATCTTCTATTGTGGGAATTTCATTAATTTTGTAAACAGCTTTTAACGCCTTTGTTGAGGGTGAATGAAAATTTTAAAAGGAGATAATGCGTCCATTCGTTTAAGGCCTGTTTTAAGACTTTTACTTACTAAGTAAAGTCATATTACAAAATTGAAGACTTCGTGTTAGATAAAGATGTATGGAAAGACGACATGGCTCTAGATTCCATATAAATTTGGTTCAACTGATGTTCCATAGCATTTAAGTTTATTTGAAAAGAGCAATCCCTAGAGTTTCTTGCTCGTTCTTCTCAGGGAGGTCAGCGTAGTGAACGATCAGTAGCTTAATTGTGACGGTTTCAAGTGTAAATTTATTTTACCTCTTCAATAAATAATTCTTTGACTTTGACTTCCCGACTCAAAGGCAAAAAATAATTGAATATCATGATAGTAAAATATCGTGACATTCAATAAAAACTTGGAAATTACAAAATCGATGGTAACTTTAAACCTCCCTGAGTGAAGAAATAAATTCGCAGGGCATAAAAAGTCGTTAAAAAACCAACACCAAAGATTTGCAACAAGCACATAGAAATCGGCAAGTTTGTTCCGTGGCTTAGTTGGCATAGCGTCAGCCACGGTTAGCAAACCGTGGCTGACGCTGAGAAGACATCGGTTCGAATCCGGCCGGATCGAAGGAACTTTTTCCAAATGTTCGATTTTTCTTATTAATAATTTTATACGTAGGGTCTTTAAACGTCTCTCCATAACAGTACTATGTTACATAATATAGATTGTAGTAATTAATTATTAAATAATAAAATAAATTTATGAAATATATAATATATAAAATAAATTAGTCGATGTAGGTATTATCTCGGATTAGCGATGTCAGAACAAAGCTCTAAAGCCTTCGTGAATCCTGCAAATACCGAATTGTGCTCATGCTATCCGGATCCTCCCAAAATGAATACCAATATACCAAATTTTGAAGTTAGTAACGTCAGCAAATCTTTCATAAAATTTACTGCAACGTTATATTTGTACCAAACTGCTATAGAAATGCGAAATAAAAATGCGGTATAGAAAAGTGGTCTGCAATCAGCGATATATCATATAAATATTATTCACGTAACGTTCAATTGGCATAATTTTACTTCCTATAAACTCATTTAATATCCGCTCACGCGATACGTGCAGCCGTAGACGCATACCGCACCTAGAGGTGCCGGTGATGATTTTATACCGATTTATCGGATATCGAAGTTATAACAGGTAAAAGGACTAATATTAATTGCTATTTCGGTAAATACTCTAGCAAACCGTAAAGTTTTTAATGCCTGGGTCTGTCATTTAAAAAAATAAACAACTTCAAAAATACGTCACGACAATCGTGCGTGTTATTGTTTGGGCTGGTGATTTCGGTGTTTATTTATTCAAAACATACCGTAAGTAGCGTTTTTTAATTTTACCCTGAATATAAATGTTTATAAACTATACTTTAAGGAGTAATTTCATGGTAAACGTTAGAGCCACTCAAACGGAATATTATCATATTTAACCAAGTACACCAAAAACTTCATTAGTGCTTTTTAAGTGCAGGATTGGCGGTGTATTACTGCATTTTATTTGTGATGTTTTTGTTGGTAGTACGGAGGGTATTTATTTAGCAATGCAGAATAATAGTTTTTATTTATAAAAACTTGTATTTAAACTGAATCCTTTTCTATTTTGCGAAACCAAATAGCCGCCATTTTGCGGTAGGAGGAGCGCATCGCGTGAGCGGATAAATCAATTCACTTCATATAACGAACATTTATATAAACTTACATTGTATAATTTCATTTTTTATAACGATCACTTACACTAACACTCATTTTTAATAACGATCATAAGTTATACACCACATTTAATATAACGTCAGTTATATTAAATTTACCTATATTTAATTTCGTCTGCAAATAGAATTAATTATTTCCAAAAAACGATATTCCTAATTATTTATTTATTTATTTATTTGCATTTCACATATAGTCTTAAGTGTACACAAACTTAGAACTATGGTAGGAACTACATGTGAGACCCTGTAAGGGCGTAGCAAAATGCACTTATAACATAGTACATATTTTAACCATGGTAATATAAATTAGAGTTTCATATACAACAGTGTAAGTCTTATAATATTCATATCTATCTATTCATCAAAATTCAATTTATTTCTTTGCATTTTAAACTCTAAATTGTAAATTAGTGCATAGGAACATACTAACGCGTACATTATATAACCCTTTCAAAGATTGTGATGACATTTAAAAATATTTAAAGATTTCGGTACATTATTTATTTATATCATCGAAGAATTCGGCAATACTGTAATAACATTTTGCTACATGAATTATAATTTGGCCTGAAAACATGCTCGGAAACGCAAAAAAATTCGTTGTGTGCTTTGTTGCAGCGTTTCGTTCTGTCCATACGAACCAGAGTCATCATATCCGATACGATTACCGCAGGATTAGCGCCAGTTGCATTTTGCTCCCACACACAATACCTATACCGTGTAGGCTACACCCTCAACGTACCAAAGATATTCAGTTCAATTTCCAGATTTATATGGCGTACTACTGTGGAGTAGGATTCCCTGCCTGTAGACTAGTTCCCTGAACGCTATGACTAGGCCCTTTTCAAGGCGAGAGTGAATAAGTATTATATGTATAGGCGTGCATGCGGCATAGTCACTTTCTATCATATAGGTCAGATACGCGCTGTAGTGGGGGTTCTTTTCTTACTTGATGACGTCACCAAATTGAGTAAAACAACTTCCAGCCCAATGTCAGGTTTTATTTCCAAAAGTATTCATGCAAGGTACCAAGTTAATTGTAACCGGCGAGAGCGGTACTATTGGTACAAATGCAAAAAGTAACTATCAGGCAGTCGTTCCCACAAGAACTCAACAACTAGACAAGTATCAATAGTAATTATATTTCTCACACGTAAGTAAAATTCGGTTCAAATAGTCACCATCCGAGGGAAAAATCTTAACACAGCGAGGCAGGAATTAAGTAAAAAGGGTCAATGCCATTTAGCGGATTTTTAGAGAACTATCTATAGTAAAGTCTATGATATAAAATAGGTTTGTTATTTACTTATTTCATGTAAATAAATTAAAAACTGACCTCAAAGGTTTGCTTATCTGCCTTTGTTGTATTCCTTACATCTATTTGCCAAGTTTTATTGCAATCGGTTATCGGAAAGTGTGCGAAACCGAATT